GAAGTCTGCTTGGGCAGTGGGTGTGGTCTTCAGAGGAAGTTGCAGGGTGAGGGCCCGCCTATGCCCCTGCCACCCGCCCCTTCCTGGAGGCGCTGCCATGGGGCTGCCAGTGGGGCCGCTGTACCTGAAGATGCAGGGATGCAGGTGACCCGGGACGGCCCGTCACATGTCCGTCCACACATAGAGGGGCCACGAGGGCCAGCCAAGGGGTTGGGCACTGGAAACTGCCCAGATGATGTTACCCACTTTGCACCCTGGGTGGTCATTTCCAAAAGGAGGGATTTAACTGTGGTCACTAACACCTTGAATCCCCTAGAGGAGGAGAGGAGGGGGGGAGTGTGAGGGTGGGGATGGTGAGACCAGTTTGCATGAAGAGAAGCCCCTCCAGAAGCCCAGCATGCATCTGAGCCTGCGCTTGTGTGGCAAACACACAAGGAGACCCTCGCCACCACGGTGGTGCTGGTGGGGTGGTGCTGGTGGGGTGGTGCGGGGGGCTGGCAGAAGCCAGTCTCTGTAGGTTTTTCTTTTAACCGATGGAGAGTGCGCGTAGCCCTGTAATGACTACAAGTTCCCAGGAAATCAAGGACGAGGATATTCATTAGGGGTTTGTGAACTGAGTGGGGGTCCTTTATGTTTTGCATTTACACGGTTTAAATTCACACCCAGAATTCAGCCTCTAGAACTAGGGGGTGGGGGAAGAGACAAATGACCAGGATGCTTTGGGAGCTGATGGGACGTCCCCCTCTCTTTGTCCCCCCAACCTCAACCCACTGACAACTTCTCTCTACCCTCTGCCTTCTCCATCCAGGTGAGCGCCCCTTTGCCTGCGACTGGCCGGGCTGTGACAAGAAGTTTGCGCGCTCCGACGAGCTGGCCCGCCACCACCGGACGCACACAGGGGAGAAGCGCTTCCCCTGCCCGCTCTGCTCCAAACGCTTCACCCGCAGCGACCACCTTACCAAGCACGCACGCCGCCACCCTGGCTTCCGCCCAGAACTGCTCCGACGCCCAGGCGCCCGCAGTACCTCACCCAGCGACTCCCTGCCCTGCAGCCTGGCTGGCAGCCCAGCGCCCAGCCCAGCACCCAGCCCAGCCCCTGCCGGCCTGTAGGGCCCATCCAGCCCACCCGGATCTCACCCCACCCAGAGCACCAGCAACATGCCTGTTGTCCAGGCACCCTTCCAGCGTTCCCCCGAGGGCCCCGAGGCCTCTGATCCCCTCAAGAAAGCAAGGAGGGGGCCTGAGACTAGACTGGGCTCAGCTGGACCTTTTGGATATGCCCGCCCCCGTGGGTGGCTGGGGCCCGTGTTTGTAAATAGCCACGACCTATAATTCTTCCCATCTGCTACACTGGGACCCCAGGTGGGTGGCTGGCAGGTGCTCCTCTCTCCCCTTTGCCACTTCCCTGCTTTGGGGGGGATATGTGTGTGGAGGGGGGCAGGAAAGGTACCCTCTGCCCAGTGCTTGGAATCAGCCCCAGGCCCCTCTCTAGATTGGGAAGAAGTGAGCAAAGAGCCATAGAGGATCCAGGGGTGACCGAGGGCCCACCCGCCTGGGGCTCCTCACCCCGTGGAAAGCCATTGGAGATGTTCAGGGAAATGGGGTGCGGCCCAGCCGTCCCCCACTCGGGTATTCGATCTCAGGTGTTAACAGGTTCTGCCCCACTGCCCACGGGAGGCAGGTGGGCAGGGGGAGGGGGAGGGTAACCATAGGGTCCGGGTTTTGCTTCTGAGATGGGGGAGGGTGGGAGAGGAGCAGGGTTCTTCCAAAGAGCATTTGCCTCACTTTGGGGGGATGTGGATATGGGGATGGAGTGAATGCTGGCTTATTTATTTTCTTGTCTCTGCTGGCTGGGGTGCTGCCTGCCCCCCTGGGTGGGTGTGGTGTGTTAGTGTAAGTGAGAAGCTGGTGCCGCAGCTACTCCCTGCTCCCAACGTTGGCCTTCCACAGCATCACGTGACAATCATTCCCTCCCTTTAGGGACCAGACAGCCACTGGGCTAAATGCACCCCTCCCCACCCTGCAGGTGGAGGTGGGAGCCCTGGCTCCATCCTGCCCCTTGCTGCATGTCCCCCCCAGGCTGCCAGGCCTGGACCAGTGATGGAGTTGCCGCCCACAAGGATAGGAGGCAGGAGGACTGGCCCAGAACCCCCTAGGAAGAGCTGGGTTTGTGTGTGTGTTTTTGGACCGGGTAGAATATTTTTTCAGGCACCAATCTCTTTTTTGATCAGGGCCACTGTGGGTGGTCTATCGTCCTCAGGAGAAGGAGGTGAGGGGAGTGTCGTCGTGACCTAAGCTTAGGGTGGAGAGGGGTGGATGCCATGTCCTCTGGTGGAGCCGGTTAGATTTCATTTTGGACCAAGGGACTGAGGATCCAGCCCCCCTGCTCTGGAGTGGGAAGGGACCCAGGCTCGCTGCCCCCAAGACCCTAAAAGGGCTTGTCTGCCCCCCCCCCCCCCATTGGCTGCAGGAGGTTTGTGGCATCTGTATTTGTCCCAGAGCCTTGTGGCCTGACTGGGGGCTGGGGGGTTGGATGGCACTGTTGTGGACCTGGACCCTCAGCCTGGCAGGATCCAGGCATGGGTGCCTCAGGTCCAGTTGGAGCCGGGCTGGGGAGGGTCTGTCTGCAGGTTCAGCCCAGGGGCAGATCCTTGCAGAGTTGGCCCATCTGCCCTCAGTCCTTCTCTCCCAGAGGGGAATGCCCTTGTCCTTGAGGGCAGAGGGGCGTGTGTCCCATTCACCTTTGTGTCTGTGTGGATGTCCCCTAGACGTCCCAGGCCTGGCCGTGCCTGTCCACAGTGGGCTTCGGGGCCCAGGAAGCTGAGAACGCTAATGTCTGGCCCCTGTTCAGGGGCCTGAAGAGACCCGTGCCCCCCTCCTCCAATGGGCCAGTGGTAGCTGTGGCCTTTCACGGGGGGGGTGGGGGGTAGGGGGTCGCATCCCTAGGGACTTGTGCTTTCTCTGGTGGCACCCCTCTCCCTTGCCCTGCCTGCCCTTACCCTTGTATTTAATTAAATAAGCCCTTTTTTAAACTCAGCTCAGAGCCGGTGTGGTTTTTCCCACTGCTGGTCCCCAGCAGGTGGGCTCTGCCCCACTCACCAATGTGGCCTCAAGGTCACCAACCTTTTGAGGAAACAGACAAAGAGCCAGTGAATTCAGAGACTTAGTGGGGGGGGGATCTTGGCAAGTCCATAGTGGCTGGGACACAAAATAATACCCCGCAGCCTTAGACTCCCGGGAAGGGAGGAGGCTGCCCGCAGCAGGACATGCTTGCTGCCTAGTGTCACCCACGCCTCATGCAGCTGCCACCATCGCCCACCTTCCCGCCCTGTTACCCGGCTACCAAGGCGCAGTGACAGCGCGGGGGCGGGGCTGGGGGAGTCCCGCTCTCAGGGCTTCCGTGTGCCAACAGGCTCCCGTGCTGTATGCTTACTGTATGCTCCCCATTGGGAGGAAGGTGGGGCGTGGGGGGGCGTAGGGAGGGAGATTAGCATCCCTTGGAGCATTGAGAAGCTGGTGTGAACTTTACCCTCCTTGGTAAAAGGCATCCCAGATTCAGGCAGTCTCCAAAGCCCTGAAGTAAGGCTGTGGTTGAGGGAGTGCAGAGCCTCGGTGCGGACTGGGTGGGGAGGGCTTCCCTGGCACCGTGGGCTCCCACCCAGCATTCCTCAGGGTCTTGCCCTTGTGGCCGTCAGAGTCACCCCTATTCTGAGCATGGGCTCTCACCTTTGTTCAAGGACAGCCTCCCCCTTGCACCCCCTTGATCTTGTTCCACCCATGTTCTCTTTCTGGTGGATTCTGCACTGAAAGACCTCAGACATTCACTCCCCGGACCCCTGTCCCCCTCTGGCAGGCTTCCCTGTCGCTTTGAGGCAGTTCCTAGAAAGCAAGGTCCTTGGGCCCAACCCCTCCCTCAGTCTCTCCTGTACACACTCCCACGTACCCTGGAGACAGCTAGATGTCCCCTCCTGCCTTCTGGATCCTTCATTGGCCTGCAACCACTCCCCCCCCCC